TTAACTCAGAAAATTGTTATTGAATATGTCAATGCTGTTTTCATGAAATGCTTCTTCTAATTATGTGGTTATTAAATAAATAATTTTTTGAAAACACACAAAAAATATTTTGTTTATTATTTTTATTTGTGAGTGTATTATCGGCATATGTTTAAGTACATTTGAGGAAGTCAGAAGAGAGCTTCAGACTCCCCCAGAACTAGTTACTGATGGCTGTTAGTCACCATGTGGGTTCTGGGAATCAAACCAGGTCCTCTGTAAGAGCAGCCAGTGCTCTTAACCACTGAGCCATCTCTCCAGCCCAGCATCCCCAACTTTTAAAAAAAAAATTTTTGAGACAATGTCTCACTAAGTTGCTCCAGCTGGCCTTGAATTTTTAATCCTCTTGCCTGAGCCTCCAAAGTAGCTAGGATTACAAGCATGTGTCATCAGGCCTAGCCGATGTCTGGTGCTATTACAGATAGAGCTTATTTTTAGATTATGTTTTATTTAGGAATAATTTAGATTGCAGACAATGTTTCCATATATCCATTCCACCTGATACTATTGTCTTATAACCACATTAAATTTATCAAAACTAAGAAAACAACGTGATGTGTTCCTATTAATTTCCCATTTTATTATGTACCAGTTTTACTATTAATGTCCTTTTTTTCTCATTCTCACTTTCAAATCCAAAATACTATATCACATATAGTCACTATTTTCAGTTTCGGTCATTATGAAAATTGTACTTCTTAATTTGGGGCATAAACACTGTAGCCTGTTCCATCTGGTCTGTGACAGCTTCCCAATTTTTGCCTGATTTTTGTGACCTTGACTCATTTAATGAGTACTGGCAAGACATTTTGTGGAAATTCCCCAACACTGGCTTGTGTGAGATTTTCTTATGACTGGACTGAAGTTATGGGTTAAAGGAAAGACATTACAGATACATTGTTGATTGTCTTGTTGATAGCTGTCTTGTCACTGGTGATGTTCAGCTTGATCATTTATTATAGTTACACTGAGGTCTATCAAGTGTCTGTATTACTAAGTTCCTGTTATACTTTTCCCCAACCTCTGTCTACAGCCTTCACTCCACATTCAAGACATAGATTGATTAAGTTATACTTCCAAAAGGGTAGGGTAAATATGCATAATATTTGTTATTCTTCTACATACAAAGAGGATTGATCCTTTTTCCACAGCTTCACATATTTAATGATTTATATATTTATAGACATCAATATTGATTTCACATATTGGATAACCCAAACTATTTTCTTTTTTGTTCATTATGAAAATTGTGTTTATCTTGGGCACTGCAAAAAATCATTCTAAACTCTTCCCATATTTCCCTTCCTTACTCTATTTATTCAGTGGCCCTAGATCCTTTTATTAGTCAATGTTGTTTTGAAACAGAAGCATGAGCCAGGTTGTATTTCATTCAGAAGAATTGCTTTGCCTCTGTGCTTTCTCATGGACAGAGCTAGGAAATATCTGTGTGCACAAAGCATGTCTTGGAAGTCAGAATAATGGAACATCAGTAATGTTTAGTCCCTATTCCCAGAACTTCTGAAGATGGTGAGTTGGACCCCAACTCAAGGAAATGAGTCCTGAATGCAAGATTCATTTCTCTGAGTAAAAGCTGAACAGATGCAGCAGAAGAGTCAAAGGGATCCACCCTGAAGAAGGATTTAGTTTATCTTTGCTGTTTCTGTGAGCTAGGTACTCACAGGAAGAAACATGAGGAAAACCTGTAAGGTCTTGTTAACAGCCAGCAAAGAGAAAGTTCTTCCCAGATTCTCCTAATGAAAACCTGGACACCAACACTTTCATTTCAGCCAACAAAACCTACAACAGAAAAAATCATCAAGCCATTTGACATGCAGAAGTTTGAGCACTTAACTGTGTGAAATAGCTAACCTTGTGGAAATCGGCTACAATAGCAATAAAACTCAACATATTTACACATCTATTGTTATTTCCAAATCTGCCGTGTGCTGATGAACATGGGGTAAGTTTATGCTGATATCCCTGACTCTTTCAGTTCCCAGTACTCATTCTCTTCTTCTTCCTTTATTTTTTTTTTAATTTTATATGTACGAGTGTTTTGCCTGCGTGTCCGTGAGTGTGCCCATGTCATACAAAGCCCACGTTGGATCCTCTGGAACTGGAGTTACAGAGGTTGTTAGTTGCCATGTGTGTGCTAGAAATTGAAGCCAGGTCCTCTAGAAGAGCAGCCACTGAGCCATCTCTCCAGTCCTTCTTCCTTTTTTATATGCAACTTCCTTTTCTGACAGTGACAAACCTAGTTTCAATTATCTATCATTATTTACTTTGTTGGATCATCATAAAGTAGCTACAGCATTGTTAACCTTAATGTCAAGGAGAACACACTTACCAACTTGATGATCCCATTTTTGTGTACATCATCTTTAGCCTTACAAACTGCAAACCTATATCCTAACATTAATAAGTTATTCTTCTCCACAGCATATTATCATCACTGACATTAGTTTCGTCTTATGTTGTAATTACATTCATTTATCGCAGTCTGAATTCCATACTGAGATGCTTCATTTCATTGGTGCATTTTATAGACACATTTAATGTGTATAAAGACACATGTATCCAGAACACTAGTACTATACACTAAATGTCCCCTGTGTATCCCCATTATAGTTAATAACTACTCTCTTGCTTGATAACTACCTAGCAATCACTGACGTGTATAAAGACGCATGTATCCAGAACACTAGTGCTATACACTAAATGTCCCCTGTGTATCCCCATTATAGTTGATAACTACTCTCTTGCTTGATAACTACCTAGCAATCACTGATGTGACTTCAATCTCCATACTTATTTGTTTTCAAATGAGATATGAATGGAACCATATTTTATGTCTGTTTTGTTAGCAAAGTATGTATGTTTTGTCCAGGTTTTTGCTATCCACAAATAGCTTTATTTTCATTTTGTATATCCTCTTATATATAGATTATTATAACTTGTACACTCATTAGTTGAAAACTGCTGGTTTTGTAATTATTAATAAAATTATCCCAAACATTTGCATACAAAATTCTGAATCATCAATACAGTTCTTATATATTTGGATGAATACTTAAGGCTATTACTGATAACAGAGGTAATATATTTGTACATTTAATTGTATATTTATATTTAACAAAAACTACTAAGCTGTTTCATATTTCTTTCTCAGGAGCAATAAATGAGAGTTTCCATTACTATGGGTCTTTGATATTAACACTTTCAATGTTTTCAGATATTGGACATTTTGCAATAAGAATCATTATAATCAGTATTTAGTATTTAAATTCCTAGGTCATAAGATAAGCTCATGTTTCATATTTTGAGAAAAGGCCAAAATGATTTTTAAACTGCACTCTTTCACATTCACATTGTCAATGCAAGGTGGGGATTTAAACATCCCACATCATTGTCAGCACTTGTTTTTGTCTGATTTATTTATTTTTTTGTAGTTATTTCTTTATTATAAGCATCCCAGTAGTGGTTCCTGAAATACAATGCTGCTGCTTGATCCTCATCTCTACAGATTCACTTTGTTCAACTTGCAGATGAATTTGGATGAAGTACTTGCAGACTCAGTTTTTCTTGCTCAACCAGTCAGCTGGCTACATAAATTTGCTTTTTCAAAAACATAAAATGCATTTTCATTTCCAACACAAATTTTTGACTCAAGAAATATTTATCTTATTTTTCTATTTCTAAATTATAGAAGCAGTGGGTCAAACAGAGAAAAAAAGTCAAGGCACACTATCTAAGTTTGCATCATGGAAGAAATGTGAATATGGTTCAATTCTGTGACTGATGTTCTCTTTACTGGGACACTGAGGGATTCTCCAGAAACCTGCATGCTGTTTCATTGAAATCTGAGAAGAAAAAAATCTGGTAATGAAAATATGATGCCCATAACAAAACGGAGTATACCTGAAAGTCTTACACAATAGTCTCAACAGAAATATTTATCAAGACCAAGAAAAAGCAGGCATACTATTTTGCCTGGAATAAATAAAATTTCGATACACAGATTTTAAATTTTCCAATTATTTGGCACTGCAGAGGATTTTATATAGTAACATGGAGATTAGATATGGAGAAGGGTTATACAAACATTTTTGTAGTCTGGTTGGTTATACTTTTCTTCTTCACTAAGAGCAATTTCGAAAGGGCATGTGGGAAAGGAGCCAACAAAAAAGTCAGCCCTTCCTACCCTTGGTACTTTGGACTCTTTTCTGGTGCACAAACTTAGCCCCAAGCTCTCAGTTTCACTGACATTCTTAAGGTGGCAGTTTGAGCCTGCACCTCACAACACATTCCACGTCAAGACAGACAGGACCATTGACCAATCACAGAGGTGGATTTCCTCTCAACGGTTCATATTGATTGTTGTGTAGGAGAGTTCCGGTCAAGAAAGAAGGGGTGGAGCCAATTAAGGAGCGTTGAAAATCACCACCAGCCCAGCCTCCTCTCAGCCAGTTAAACCAGTTCTTCATTAAACCTTCAAGATGTCTCTCTCTAGTAAGTTGACTCTGGACAAACTGGATGTTAAGGGAAAGAGAGTCATCATGAGAGTAGACTTCAATGTGCCCATGAAGAACAACCAGATCACAAACAACCAGAGAATCAAGGCCGCCATTCCAAGCATCAGGCACTGCTTGGATAAGGGAGCCAAGTCAGTAGTTCTCATGAGTCATCTGGGACGACCCAATGGTGTCCCCATGCCAGACAAATACTCGTTACAGCCTGTTGCTACTGAGCTTAAATCCTTGCTGGGCAAAGATGTTTTGTTTCTGAAGGACTGTGTGGGATCTGAAGTGGAGAAAGCCTGTGCCAATCCAGCTAACGGTTCTGTCATCCTGCTGGAGAACCTGCGCTTTCACGTGGAAGAAGAAGGAAAGGGTCAGGATCCTTCAGGAAATAAGATTAAACCCGAGCCAGGTAGAATAAAAGCCTTCCAAGCATCACTCTCTAAGCTCGGGGATGTCTATGTCAATGATGCTTTTGGCACTGCACACAGGGCTCACAGTTCCACGGTGGGAGTGAATTTGCCCCAGAAGGCATCTGGGTTCCTCATGAAGAAGGAACTTGATTACTTTGCCAAAGCCTTAGAACACCCAGAAAGACCCTTTCTGGCTATCCTTGGTGGAGCCAAAGTGGCAGACAAGATCCAGCTCATCAAAAATATGCTGGACAAAGTCAATTTTATGATTATTGGCGGTGGGATGGCTTATACCTTCCTGAAGGAACTCAAGAACATGGAGATTGGCACTTCCTTGTTTGATGAAGAGGGAGCTAAGATTGTCAAAGAGATCATGGCCAAAGCAGAAAAGAACGGTGTAGAGATCACCTTTCCTGTCGACTTCATAACTGCCGACAAGTTTGATGAGAACGCACAAGTTGGACAAGCCACTATTGAATCTGGCATACCCTCTGGATGGATGGGTTTGGACTGTGGTCCTGAGAGCATTAAAAACAATGCTCAAATTGTGGCCCAGGCTAAACTGATTGTTTGGAATGGGCCTCTGGGGGTATTTGAATGGGATGCCTTTGCTAAGGGAACCAAAGCCCTCATGGATGAAGTTGTGAAAGCCACTTCCAAGGGCTGTGTCACCATTATAGGTGGTGGAGACACTGCTACTTGCTGTGCCAAATGGGACACTGAAGATAAGGTCAGCCATGTGAGCACTGGAGGGGGTGCCAGTCTGGAGCTTCTGGAAGGTAAAGTCCTTCCTGGGGTAGAAGCCCTCAGCAGCATGTAATGTTCCTGCTTCCTGTTTCCTGTCCACAGCACTTAATATAACTAGTGCTCTTACATCTCAACTTGACTTTGGTAAAATTCCACCCTGTATCAAGACCCAGGTAATAAGCACACAGTGAGCCATCAGGAATTTGTAACAGCAGCGTTTGTTATGCACTTCAAGATCTCATTAGAACTACCAACTGTGCTTCATAAGGAGGAAACATTCTTATGTCTCTATTAAAGAAGTGAGGTGCATGTGCTGTATCTGTTGTCTTTACTTTAGTCCAACATAGATGTTTTTCGGTCTGAATCAGCAACAACACAAAATATAATTATTGGGGAAGGATGTGGCAAAGGTTGACAAAGTTTAAACAGTAATAGTACCCAAATAAACAGGAAAATAACTGTTTATTCAACACTAATAGATATAATTTGAACTCTACCAAAAGAATGTTTTCTTAATAAGAAAAAAGTCCTTATTAAACCCATGTAATTGAAATAAAAGAAAACATTTTAAACTAAAAAAAGTGTTCATGCCCCTGTGTGTATATAAAATAAGACACTTAAGTCTCTGCTAATGAGATAGCTACAAATTAAATTCAGATTATGGATAAAGAATTATTTGCAGGGATGGAGAGATGACTTGACTTAGTGGTTAAGTGCACTGGTTTCTCCAGTAAAACCAGATGTAGTTTCCAGCACCCATATGGCAGCTCACAACTGCCTGTAACTCCAAATCCAGAGTATATGATGCCCTCTTCTGACCTCTGAGGGCAATGCATGCATGTGATGCACCTGCGTATATGCAAGCAAAACACTCATACACATGAACTAAAAATCTTTTTTATAAGAGTTATTTGAAAGCAGACAATATTTGGCAATAGATAATCATTGAATTTTGATGGTTTATGAAAATAAATATGTATATGTAAGTATTTCACTATTGAGTTTAATAGCTCTGTAACTTATTTTGGAACACAGAAAACTAAGGTAGACAAAATGAAACTACTTATTGGTCACTATTTTTCCAAGATCTGTGTGCAAAGAATGAAACAAGGCGAAAAATATGGAGTAACTTTTGTACCTGTTTCCCATGCCCATAAACTCAAATCAACTTTCCGTAAATGCAGTATTCTGAAGAGCAGAACTTCGAATGAGAATCTTAGCACACCAGAATTTCAGCATATTTCTAAGGATAGAGTTGATAATGCTAAGGAAGGCATAGTATTTAAGGTGAGAGAGAGAGAGAGAGAGAGAGAGAGAGAGAGAGAGAGAGAGACCAAAGTTTCAGTGGTTCAGAGCAAAAATGTAGGTTCTCCATCACATCAGATCATACAGGGCATCAACCTAATGAAACAAACTTGGTACTTTCAGTGGGGGGTTAAATCCATGTCTGAGGATGTCTGTCAGAAATTTTAAGGCCAGAATGGGATAACATAGGGAGACTGTCTCAAAAATAATTCATTTATACATTTATTAGTAATAAAATTATACTTAATACAACATGTATTTGACTGCTCCTTGACCCTCAGATACAGGTGGGAAAAACAGCTGTTGAAACTAATTGAGCTAAGCAAACGTTGGCTATCTCTGATGTTCTGCTGTATAAAAAGGTGGAGCTAAAATAAACCAGGGCTGAAGTCTCTACTGACAGTCCTCCCAAGTATCTTTTCTCTGTCTCTTGTTTTTTCTTTCAATCCTCACTCCCCCTTTCAGGTACTGTCCATCTTGGCCGGCTGGCACTGGCAAGTGGCACCCGGAACAGGAACCTGAAAAGTAGAGGAAAAAGTGAAGGACACCGATGGAAAAGTTAAGTGAGTGCACTCGGTACAATTGGGGAGCGGTGAGTATTTATCTTGGGAGAAGTTGGGCAAAGAAACAGTCGCTAAGAAAGGAATTTGTAGGGAATATTCTTGGTGCCTGAGGAGCAAAGGCTGAGACTAAAGAGAAGAATCCGATAAGTGGTGGCTGAGATAAAAGTGAAACCAAACCTTCCACTCCACCAGAGCCAGCTCCATTAGCCTTGCCACCCTTTTATGAGGACCCCCATCTGGGGCTAGAAGAGCAATCTCTTGACCCTGAGGATAAGTCTTCCCTAGGAGAGGAGACGGTTGAGTATGATCAGGAAAAGTGTCCACCTCTAATTGCTTTGCCTGATCACTGGGAAATTAAACAATTAAGGACAGAGTTAGACACTGTAAAGAAGGAACTGTTAAAGAAAGAGGAGGAAAGAATTAGGACCACCCCAACACCCCCTCCGAAGGCTGTTGCACCTCCCATGATTGCCATGGCTCAGGAGCCTTCGGCAGGAATCTGGTACCCACTTAGACCATGCAATCTCCATTACAACAGGCCATTGGGGCCACAGCAAAGAGAGGAGAGTCAGTGCATGGATTTCAAGTCTTCCCAGTTTCTGAGCAAGTTGATCAGCAGGGCAACAGGGTGCGGTCTCATGCACCTGTGCCTTTTCTTTGTCTGAGAAGTCTATCACTGGGAAATTGAGCAATTAAGGGCAGGGTTAGAGGCTGTGAAGGAAATGTTAAATAAAGAGAAAAGAACTAGGACCACCCCACACGCTCTATTATGGTAGGATTAGATCCTCCTCCTCCGAGGCCACCAAGGGTTGTTGCACCTCCCATGATTGCTGTGGCTCAGGAGCCTTTGGCAGGAATCTGGTACCCGCTTAGAACCATGCAATCTCCGTTACAACAGGCCATTGGGGCCGCGGTAGAGCGAGGAGAGTCAGTGCATGGATTTCAAGTCATCCCTGTTGCCCTGCTGATCAACTTGCATTTGAGAATGCTAATGGAGCCTGTCAAGCTGCTATTAGGCCTTTTAGGAAGAAAGGTGATTTATCAGACTATATAAGATTATGTTCTGATATTGGGCCATCTTACATCCAAGGAGTAGCCATGGCTGCAGCATTGCAGGGAAAGCCTATTCAGGAGATACTTTTTCAACAAACGAAAAGGTCAAAAGGATGGGTGGGTGAACCTGGGGGGAGCTGCTTCTGATGTGACCAGTTGGGACATCAAGTGAAACAGTGCCCTAATAAGCATAGAGGAGGTCAGAGAAATAAAGAGCCAGGCTTATGTCCCAGTTGTAAACAAGGGAAGCATTTGGCTAATGAGTACAAATCAAAAAAGGATGTTATTGGGAACTTGCTTCCACAGGGAAATGGGGAGCAGGGCCAGCCCCAGGCCCCGAAACAATGTTATGGGGTGCTCCAGACACTCGTCCCCCAGCAGGGAAATCCATTCAAGACCTCTTCAGGGCCACCCCAGGAAGCGCAGGACTGGACCTCAGTGCCTCCACTTACACAGTATTAACCCCTGACATGGGAATGCAAGCCATATCTACAGGAGTGTATGGGCTGTTGCCAAAAGGAATGGTGGGATTGGTATTAGGAAGAAGTAGTGTTACCATAAAGGGAATTCTGGTAGCTCCTGGAGTGATAGATTCAGACTATCAAGGTGACATCAAGATTATGACTCATTCCCCCCTAGGAATTGCTGTAATACAGTCAGGACAAAGATTGGCACAATTGCTCCTGCTCCCTCTGGTTCACAGTGGCAACAATAGTAAAATTCAGCATAGAGGGACAGGTGGTTTTGGTTCCTCTGATGTTTATTGGCTACAAGCTATCAGTCAACAACGCCCTGAGTTAGAGCTAACTATTAATGGGAAAAGATTTTAAGGACTTTTGGACACTGGGGTGGATGTATCTGTAATTTCAGAAGGACAATGGCCCTCAGCCTGGCCAAAGCATACCTCCATGACAAATTTGCAGGGCATAGGGCAAAGTTAGAGTCCATATCAAAGTAGTGATGAGCTACATTGGAAGGACCTGGAGGGACATAAAGGTTCTTTTACTCCCTACATTGTGAAGGGGTTGCCCATCAATCTTTGGGGGAGGGATGTGATGAGTAAGATGGGAGTCTATTTGTATAGTCCCAATGAGCAGGTTTTGCAGCAAATGTTTAATCAAGGAATGCTTCCGCAAGCCGGACTAGGAAGAAATGGGCAGGGAATTCAGGCACCGTTACAAATATGAAAAATTGAATATGAAAGGGCTAGAATATTTTTAACAGAGGCCATTCAACAACCTGCACCTCATGCTGATGCTATAACATGGAAATCTGAAAAGCCAGTATGGGTGGATCAATGGCCTCTTACCCAGGAAAAAATAAAAGCCGTTGAGCAGTTAGTGCAGGAACAGCTCAATAGCGGACATATCAAACTTTCTAATTCACCCTGGAATTCTATTTTTGTGGTTAAGAAAAGGTCAGGTAAGTGGAGATTGTTACAAGATTTGAGAGAAGTCAAGAAAACAATGGAACTGATGGGCGCATTACAGCCTGGTTTGCCTATTCCTTCTGCTGTTCCACAGGACACCTTTAAAATTATCTTGGACTTAAAAGATTGCTTTTACACGATTCCCTTGGCTCCTCAAGATTGTAGATTTGCATTTGGTGTACCTTCCATAAACTTTAAGGAGCCTATGAAAAGGTATGATTGGAAAGTTTTACCTCAAGGAATGGCCAATAGTCCTACCTTATGTCAAAAATTTGTAGATCAGGCTATAGCACAGATTAGGTATCTATATCCCGAAGTATATATTATTCACTATATGGACGATATACTTCTAGCTCACAAACTCGAGGGACTACTATTATCTGCCTATGGGGTCTTGCAGAAGGGACTGAAAAGTTATGGGTTAGTTATTGCCCCTGAGAAAGTACAAAAGGAAGCTCCATTAAGTTATCTAGGAAAACTGCTATATCCCAAAGAAATTAACCTCACTAGCAGGACAATTACTCCCGATGCTTTTCAAGCTTTACAATTAGTAGAAAATGCTATTGAAAAGCAACAAATTACCTATGTAAATTATAGTCGGCCCTGGATGGGTTGCATTTTTTTCTACCACTCACACCCTTACCTCTGTACTCTGGCAGGATGGCCCTCTTCTTTGGGTGCATCTACCAGTATCTCCAGTCAAAGTAATTAATCCTTATTATG